TTTCTTTCATTATTTCTTTCTTTATTTCTTTCTTGCCCGTTTCATATATTTCTTCCATTCAACATTAATGCCCTATATTCTTCCTTTCAATCACCCGTTTCATATTGAAAATAGCTAATTGTTCGCTTTTTTCATATCTTTTGCATTTGACCTAAACTGAGGATCAATCTTTCCACCTCCAGATCAATTTCTTCTTTCGCATCGGGGGAATCATCACAAAAATCTATTAGCGGGTCTGTTTTTTGACACAAGTAGGGTTTTGCAGCTTACAGTCCTCCTATCAAGTCGGCTTTGCACACTGCACCTAACCTCCCCATGGCAATCAACAATGATGCCCGTTCACAGCTCATATATCTTTGTTCAGTGTTCAGTCTCATTGTTTCAACCAGAGCACCCCCATCTCAAGTCAGTCATACTATTCTTTCCTTGGATATTTGCTTTTTTAATTTAATTAATTTTAATTTTCATGATGTAACTTAACAAAACCAGGTCCCTCAATCTCAACTTTGCTATCGATGTAAGCCCTAAAAGGGATTAATCAAATTAAACATGTTTTGTTACTTGAATAAATTTGAGAATATAACAGTAACCATAGTAATCTAATAATTAATGTTTACATTGCAAGAGAGTTCAGGTACGAAGGTTGGATACAGGCCTAAGCATTTCCCCTCAATCCCAAGTACGCACAGATGTAAACTCCAAAAGGGATTAACCAGGTATAAAAAAAACAAATTGCAATTAATATGAGTGAGATAACCTATTATATGAAGAATGTTACTAAACTTTCTGTAATGAGGAACAAGCCTCTCTTGGTCAGTTAATCATGTTTATACTTAAGTAGGGATTTATCCTGTTGACACTCATGCTAAGATTCAATATTCACAAGACAAAGCAACTTCAACCAAGGTGAAAGCAATGTGGTAATTATATTCGAACGTATCCGAATTGTATTCTGATATCAGTCTTTGTAAGTGTAATGCTAGAGATTTTACTGGCAGTATGTTTCTGTTATTGTGGTTTTATGTAGAAGGATTTGTTAATGAAAAATTTAACCTGAGTGATACTCATTTAATAATTCCGTATATAAAGAAGTTTTATTACTAAATGGAAAGTACGTATTTAATTTCAGATACGAGGTATTTGTAAATTTTTTCTTTGTTCTCATAGTGTATATTTTATAAACTGAAAAGTACTCATCTTAAATAATGGTGTAAAGTATTTTATCTCCAATAGTTTACACCATTTTTCATTACCAAAAAGGAATATTCCCATTTTATTCTTTTTACTAACTTTTTACCATTCTTCTATTTAAGTATCTAATTATCATATATTTATACATTAGCCCCTCATTTAATATTTTGACATTTCACACATTATTTCACACATACGAACTAAAATACACCATTTTAATATGTATTTTCACGCATTTCACTAATTAAAATACAATAATCAATATTTCACAAATACAAGCTAAAAACACATAAAATTAAATATTACAATAATATTATAATAATTTGTACATCATTAATAAAGTACTACTTAAACTTAAAGCAATACCCGATCAGTTCAGACCAGACCAAGACCAGATCAGACCAGACTTGGGTTATAAAAATACAAAGAAACTAGACCAGACCAGTTCAGATAAGACCAAACCGGACCAGACCAGCAAATTACAGTCAAAGTAAAAACATCCTAATTTGTTGTTCTAAAAATGGGCCAAAAGTATAACAACCAAAAGTTTGGGTCACATTTGAAATAAAATAAAAAATAAAAAAGAAGAAGAAGATGGCGTAGGAGATGGTGTGCGCCATATATGGCATAAACCCAAACTCCCTCCCCCATTTTGGTGAGATGGTGTAAAGAATGGTGTAGCTATTGGAGCAAGTTTTTGACAAATACACCATTTTGGTGTGTGATTTGGTGGTCTGTTGGAGAAGCTCTAAGAAGAAGAAATTTATTATGAAAATAAAGAGGGGACTGGGCATGAAGGAAGCTCCAGTAGGTCCTATAGTTATAGTGACCTCTTGAGCTTTTTTTGTTTATAGGTTTTTTAAAAAAGACTCTTGATTGCTTATTACAGTACTTTTTAGAAAAAGTATTGGCTTATAGAAACCACCTCTTTTTTTTTAGGGTAAACCACCTCTAAATGTAGTGGGAATGTTTATGGTTTACCTGACGAGACATCATAGTTATAGTTCGCTTAGATACATATACCACTTTCATTATTTTTTTTTTGTTTTCTGCTAAATGCACTAGAAGTCCGTTTGGTTTGGCATTAGAGCAGATTTTGTGGCCATTTTCTGTTTCCATTTTAAACAAACAACCTGCTATGAGTGGAATGAATATTTGGAACAAATCAATCCCTGTTTTGTCAGTTTGATTGCACTGAGGGTTGAGTATGTATTTATTATTGAAATATATGGTTTATGTGGTTCAAATGGTTGAGTATGCAATTCCTCTATGAAATGCATTTGGAAGAATGTTTTTAAACATACAAGTAAGTCAAAGCTTACTTATATCGAATGTGCGAGTTAATGCTACAAGACATGTCCAAAATAATTATAGGTACACCTACACACATCTATTTGAACAAGATATTTATTGTGCAGATGAAATGATGTGACAGCTTAAACAAGGGCTGCATGGGGCTCCAAGAGATCATTATTTGTTGATGTTCAAGGAAATGTGCAGCAACTTGGAGAAATAATTCTCAAATATTTGGGCTAATCGATATCTTTTGTAATTCATTTCTTTTTAGAACAAATGAGCAATAGAGTTTTGTATAGTTATTCAAAGTTGAAAAACTCCAGCTTAAGAAACAATATCTCTCTTAAACACACTTTATGCAAGGAAACAAAACAGTGAAAAAAAGATGTTTCCTTCTCAGGTAGCACAGGTCCGTAAACCAAAACATTTTTTATTCTAATGCACAAAGAAGTATCATAGCCAATCGAAAATTAAAACTCAATGCATTCACATGTAAAAATCAGCTAGATGGAGCAACACAAAACTTCATATTTAAAAATCTTAGAAATTTTGGAAAACAAATGAAATAACAATAGATATTATCATGTTTATTCATATACGGTGTACAATTCACACTGGTTTTGATTATATATGTGGATTTAGTGAAGGACACTAAGCAAGCGCCTATTATTTTCAAGACTCCTCACTCAACAGAAATCGATATTATTTGTACAAACTCCCCACTCAACAAAAATTGATTCTCATCAGACCCTGACTTAGTTCTATCCAAGAAACATGCTTCTGAAGAAAACATGGAAATGATCGTAGCGAAGAGAACGCTGCCAACAAAAAGTTAAACGGTGCTAAGATTGAGATGTGACTATGATTTTTCAGGAGTTTTGTTTTAAATTTATCATCTGCATTGATATGCATTTTCATTCACAGGATTCATCAATACTTTAACAACAATTTCATAAATACTTTTTGATTGAGTGTTATTTAATTCACGAGAGTACCATAAGAGATTTGTACTCACTATTAGAGAACTACTTATGAATGACAATGTTAGTATGTTATATGTAATGTACATTAGTTTAACATAGATAGAGTAAGCGGTAATTAAAATTGCGATTTTATAGCTTTATAAATTGCTCATTAATGACTTAGTTAAGCAATAAGTAGATAGCTATGATTTCCCGATGATACAATGAAAAGAAGATTTTAGCTAATGATATAAAAGAGTGAATAAGCACATCTAAAAAAAGATCTTTTAATTCTTATTACCAAGTATATCCTTCAAAGAACATGAGATTTTCAAAGATGACCGGTGAGCTGGATGAACTAACTATTCAATCCTTTGTCGATTGGATTTTATGGATTGAGGATTGTGCTTTACAAAAACTCAAGATAGATTATCACTTTTCGATAAATCGGATGATATGATTGCTCCAATGGCATTTGGTCTATTTGAATCTATTGTTCAAACTATATATCATGATTTTTAACTCAGAGTGATCCATTTTTTTATCTTTAGTCAAGGGCTATTATTTTTTTGAGCAAAGTTAAGGTTGATAAGCTCAACAATAACATGTTGTATAAAATAGATTCGAGTTAAGGACTTATCTAAATCTAGGCTTAGTTTTTTCATCTAAATCAAATAGGGACTTCTTACAAGAGATACATTCTCCTGAGTTTCTAACTAGAATTAAATCTTCAGATTTTTGAAATCATGGGCTAAATCTGAATTTGGGGGGTTTTATGATGCTTGTGAGAAATATAGATTATTCATATGGATTTTGCAATGACACACGGCTTATGGTTACTAAACTTGGAGCTCACAGTATTGAGGCTCATATGACATAAGAGAGATGCCGATTAAAAATTTCTTATTCCTCGACTTATTTTAACACCATTAGACATTACACTATCTTTCACTTATAAGTGTAGACAATTTCTGTTAACGGTTAGCTATGCAATGACCATTAATAAGAGTTTAGAAAAAGGTTGGAATCTTCCTCTGTTGGTTTGTTTTTATGAATGGACGGTTTCACGTGATGGTCTCGAGAGTAACATGTCTATCAGAGTTAAAGTTTGTAATATGTGATGAAGATGAATAACCAACCTTTTGAACATTGTATATAAAAATGTTTATAGTTATTTGTAGTTTTCCTTGACAATTTCATGGATATACATGTACACCTACTTTATCACATGATGATTCATATTTAACTTCGAAAATTATTTTTTAATACCTTACTCCCTACGTATTGAAATGCTTACTACATTAGTGTTTGACACAACATTTAAGAAAAAAATAATAGGGATGATGAATTTACCAAAAATGGTAAGTGTAACAAAATTAAAATACATCTCAAAAAGAAAGTATAGCAATTATTTCAATACAATGGGAATATAAACTATGACTTCTTATTTTGTTTTATGTTTTCAATTACTTGATTCCTTATCCATTTATTTTTTATTTTTAATATAATCGATTTAAAATTTTACGTAAGTGCTTCACTCCCGTGCAACGCACGGGTGGAGTAACTAGTTTAATATGAAAAGAAAAATTAGGGTGCAGCATCTCAATATCAAAAGAACTCCCCGCCCTATCTTCCCCCCTTTCTATCCCCAGCACCCTTGTTCTGCATAAAGGTACGTTTTGTTCCACTTCCAAACTTTGAAATTTCTTTAGTTAGTCATCGATATAAACTCGTAGGAGCTTTATAGTCCCGTGTCATTAAATTTCATTTTGGATTTGTTCCCTACATTTAACTGTGTTTTTGAACGCAAAGTATATGCAGAGGAGGTGATTTTGGGTTTGATGATGATCCAAGACTTTACAGTGACACGAAATGCCCATCTTAGAATAAATTCTCCCTACTAGGAGTTGGTTTTCCTTTTACGCAAGCCTAGGTCGTGTTAGACTGTTCGCTATTGCTGTATAGTTTTTTCAGAATGCCTGACTGTTGATGTACTCAATACTCTATAAGTGTTTGAGGATGAAAGTAAGATTTGGAAGGATTTTTTTTCTAGATATTTTGCAAGATTAAAGTTCTTTGTTTACCTCTCTATAGGCGAGGTTGTATTTAATTAGTACTTTTATATATTTTTTATTCATGGAGATCACTCTTCCTTGAATGTAGTCATGTTGTAAACAAAATTATAGGATTTTCAATGGATTAGTGATTCCTAATGAATTTGATTCCATTGAAAAATATGAAACTGATACACTTCGCTGAAGAACTAGACAACCGCAAATTGTTTTTATCCATTTCCTACCTAGTCATTATCAATCAAGGACATTGTGCATGGGAAATAAAGTCTTGCTTGTTTGTAGTTTTAGTCATTCAACGCACATATCACAATGGTTAAGTTGAATGCAAAGCTTTGCCTTTCCTTTAGTATTTACTGAGTTAAAGAATGGTGAAGTGCATGGTGATTTTTTTTGTGAAACTATGGAGTTATCTAGATTATGACTATTATCACAGATTATGAAACTATGGAGTTATCTAGATTTTTATGTTTATCTCATTTTTTGATGCATTTAGTTCAATGTTGTGTTGAATATATCATGCTTGGTAATTCTAGAGTAGCATACATGATATTTTCTTAAGTGCGCTTGACATGAGTCAGGCAAGTCCTTTTTTTTGCGTCTCAGGCGAAAGAGTACTTTAGTTCCTCTGACCCTAAATAACACACACAATTTGCTCTTTTGGCCATCCTAAAATTATCCCTCATTTTTTGAGGGAAAGCATTTCGTGATTCATGTTACTTTCTCCTCGATATAAATTTCAGCAATACTGTTTCCACATTCTTAACCTCTGTGCCCTGTCAAATCCAGGGTTTATTAAGTGATAGAGGGAGTACTATTTTTCTGATTTATTGGCATTATTATTTCAGGAATACTTTTAGTTCCAATTTGATCACACCATCATTCTCTTGTCACCATGTTATAGTTGGCAATCAAGATATGTCATCAGATACTGCAAAAGAAAATGCATCTGTAGTTGATTCATCCGTGACTGAAGGGAGAAATGATAAATGGAAAATGGATAATCCAGGTACGGCTGTTGTTCTTTCTTCATTTACTCTCTTGGTCAATTTTGGGATGTTTACTTATCTACAAGACCTTGCAATTTGAGTTTTCTTGGTCTGCTTGTCGGGTACGTTTGAAACTTTGAATTGTTTGGTACTTGGTTCACCCTATAGGCAAATAGTCTGTATTTGTGTATAGCTTGTTGCAGTGCTTACCTTTTCCCTTTCATACTTACATTTTTGTTTAATTCAATAGAAGCTATGATTTTGTATTCTCGCAAATCACATTTACATCAGCTCTAAAGAAGTTGAATGACAGTAACTATATGTCTATTAACTTTTGTTTAATCACATTTACATCAGCTCTAAAGAAGTTGAATGACAGTAACTATATGTCTATTAACTTCTTTTAGTGAAATAGAGACACTTCTATGTTCACAGTTTTTGTTTTCGGCTTGATTTCTCATTTAAATATAAAAATGATTGTAGTACATAGAAACACATACATGATACATGACAAGGTAGGGCTTCATGCATTTGGCCACATTGTGATGAGTCTCTTATCAGTTATCACATATCACTTGATGCAACTTTGTAGCTAGATGTCGATTTATCATCAGAGTCGCACATAAATGGATGGGCAAATAGGTTTCATTTTTTGCATATGCTTAAATAAATTACATAATTCAGGTCCTTTTCATGTGCAGTCGTAGTTAATGATCGTCAATTACTTAATACGTTGTTGCAATTAATCAGCACTTAGCCACTTATACCCCACACAAAGTTGAAGAGCTAATATTCATTTAAATTATGCTGAGATGGTAGAGTCAACATATGCACATTACATAGTTGTACGCATAATAACTTAAGTCTTACCCATGTCAGTTAACACCTTTCCTTTTTTCATTTAAAATCTGTATTGAGACAAATCATTCATAACACATTTTCCAGCCTACCCAAACTATAGAGAGAAGGATGACCACTATCGTTCTGATTCTGAAGCAGATTACCATGCAAACTCATGTGAGCAGATTGGTATTTCAGCTGAAGATGGAAATAGAAGGCGGAGGTTGTATAGTACGCGCTACTTCATCATCAAGAGCCTGACCCATGAAAATCTTCAATTATCTGTTAATAAAGGTATTTGGGCAACACAAGTTATGAATGAGCCTATTCTGGAGGAAGCCTTTCATGTAAGACGCTTGTCTGTTTGTTTTCTTCACTATTTCATTACCATGATCGCTCCCATATTTTCATAGTTAATTACATTTACCTTCCATTAGCATGGTAAAAGAGGTGTTTTTGAGGCAGATCTTGAGGCTTGCTTGATAACTTCACTAAGCCTCGAGGTTTTAGCTTCATATGGTTGATGCGTTTTGTTAGGCTTAAACATTGAAGCGTTTTGGGTTGCTTATGTTTTTGTTTTAAGTTTTGTCTTGGCTTATACAACAACATCTTATCCTTAATCCAAAAAGAGTTTTGGATCGGCTAACATGAAATGACATATAACATAGAAAGCTAAAACAATAAATAGATAAGAAAGGGAGAGTGGGAGACAAACAAAATCAGATCTATTCATTGATCCTCCATATGTGTACTCTCCCACCACTTCGCTCTCATTAAAGTCATACTCTCATCTAACCGAAGTACCATATCATTCTTGGTCACTGTAATCCACATCTGTCTAAGTCGCCCCCACCTGCCTCCTTTTCCCACCTCTCAATTCGTCTAAGGGCCAATATGGTTGGGGGATTTTGGAGGGGAGGGAAGGGGAGGGGTCTTATTTAAATATAAAATATTTTTACATTTAGACAAATTGAAATAAAATGAGGAAACAATAGTATATAAAAATACATGGTTTAACTAATTATATATTTATTTGTAGTAAAAAATTAACAAATTCAGATAATCTAATCAAGTTAAAAATTAATCCTCTCCTTCCCTCTCCTCCAAAATCCCCCAACCATACAGGGGGTAAGAGGTGTATCACTCGGTCTTCTACACGCATGACCAAACCATCACAGTTGAGACTATCACATTCTATCTTCAATAGGTGTTACTCTCACTTTTCCCCTATTTGTTTCATTCCTCAAACGTTCTTTTCTAGTATGTCCACACATTGAAGCAACATGCACATCTTAGTTACATTCATCTTTTGAATGTAATATTATATTATTATTTCACCGTCCAACACTTTGTCATACAATAATGCAGGCCCAATTGTTAAATAGTCCATGAGCTTTGGTCAAATGATCAAATGACCCCAGGTTTCTGTACATATTGCAAATAAGTCCCTTGGTTATTCAAAATATCCATAACTGAACTGAAAGGTGATAGACTGATAGGATAAATTAATATTATTTGGAATTGAGTTTATTTGCACTAAATTGCCATATTAGTTCAGAAATTTATGTTTCAGAGAAAGCTTCAAATATTTTAGCTGATAAAATGCATTCAACAAAAAAAAGTTAAAAAACATCCAAGCCTTGGTCCCAAAAGAGTTTGGGGTCGGCTAACATGAATTGACACATAAAATCGGAGCAAAAAAGATAAGAAAGATATAAAGATAAGATAAGATAAAAAAGAGAAAAAGTTAAGATAAAAAAGAGAAAAAGATAAGATAAAAAAGAGAAAAAGATAAGATAAAGATAAAAATGATAAGATAAACAAAAATAAGATAAAAGAATAAAGAACATAAAAAAGATAAAGAAGGTAAAACATAAAAGGATAAAAATGATGAACAAGATCAATCCTCCACACGAATATTTTCTCTCCACTTTATGCATTAATGACAAAATGCATGAATAACACAAAATTTATCTCAAAGTTGCAGCTTGTAAATACTTAATATTATCATATGATTCATATTTTAGTTTAAAAAGAGTCATTTGTAGAACAATTGTTTGATGAAGGGGCTTATTTGTAATTTTCATAAACCTCAAGAATTATTTAATTGTTTGACCAATCTTTTTACTACCACTTTTTAACTGGCACATACAATTCCGCTGCAGAATTCACGGAAGGTCATTCTAATATTCAGTGTCAACATGAGTGGTTTCTTCCAAGGCTATGCACAAATGATGTCATCGGTTGGGCAGATACGTGATCGAGTATGGGGCCAAGGAAGTGATGGGCGTAATCCTTGGGGTCGAACCTTTAATGTTAAATGGTTGCGGTTGCATGATTTGCCTTTTCAAAAGACTCTTCATCTGAAAAACCCCTGGAATCAGTACAAACCTGTTAAAATTAGTAGAGATTGTCAGGTTCTACTGCTATACGAGCTTTTTCAGCTGTTTGCGTGTACATATGTTTGTTATCCAAAATCACCAAGGATTAGAATATGTGACTGTTGTCCTTGTATTATTGTAGGAGTTGCATCCAGATGTCGGTAAAGCTCTGTGTGAACTCCTTGATGGAAAAGATGTGTCTGATGTTAATATAAAAGTGTACAAGCTTCCTCGATCTTGAATAGTTTTGCTGTGCAAAAGCCCTTTTTCAAACACAAATCACACACACACATAATTATGAGGTCTGCATCCGGTGAGAAGGATTTCAAGGAAAAATGAGAATAAATCTCAACTCTTTTTCATCAATTTGGTCATGGATGGAGTAGTAGTGTAGTGCAGTTTTTCCAAAAAATGTGGTGGCATAATCATCAATATGTGAAACTTTAATGTGCAGTGGTTAAAGCTTGAAAGTGCACCTTGTTATAATTATCTTATGCACTATGTATCTTTCCCTGATGCAAATTATAACTTCTGGCTACTATTGCACTTATTCAGTAATGCAAATTTCGTTTTGAACACGGGTGCACTTTTTACATGTACAAAATTGCATTGTTATGTATACAATTATGCACTTTCATCACAGACATCACTGAGTATGTAAGCTAAACTTTGACATACGTAGTATTTAATAAATTTTATCGCATTCTTCATTAAAAGCTCTCATTATTTACATGTATGGGCCATCACATTTCTCTTTGAAAAATGATATCATCCGTCCATTATTTAGATCAATGACCAAGATTTGTTCTCATTTCTTTCATAAGATCAACTTCTCATTTGAAAATATGCGTGTATATTTAAATATATGGCACAAGAGAAATCCCTGTTTTCGCATTCATGTTTCCCTAGGTTGCTATTGGCTCTTGCAGGGAAAATTTTTATTGGGGTGACCACTCAGTTAAAAGGCCACATGTAGAGCATTCAGTGCATTCAAGAGACGGAGTTTGTAATATGCCACTGATGCATATGGGCCCAATGATTTATTCTTCTTTAACTTACCAGCATCACACGAGTATGTTTCATACAGAGCATCATGATTCAGACAGTATGTTTCTACCTTGGACTTAATCTTCTGTGCTTGTGGAGATTCACAAATGGAAGTAGTCTAAATGTTCCTAGGAAAAGAAATAGGACCCTCACAAAAATATATTTATGAGGGCCCACATTATTCTTCTCAATTTGATTTTTTTTTGGGTCTCTCAGGTGAAAGTCCTCTTGCTAGTATTCTTACTACTCTCACTGATGATGATATTATTGACATGGTACGCGCCCATCATTTTATGATAGAGCACCTGAGTATATCATTAGAAACAAAAGATAATCCTTTGTTATGTACTCATGTTATAATTTTAATTTAGAAATGTATATCATTAGGAACAAAAGATAGTCCTTAGTTATGTACACATAACACATGTTATAATTTTAATTCTGAAATGTAAACTCTTAAAAGTTTTATTGTACATTACATTGTCTACTAAGTCATTCTAATTAATTGATACTTCAGGGTTTAAGGCATCATATGTTATGTTTGGGATATTTGGTTGTTTTTCAAAAATATTTTAAATTGTTATTCTAATATAGTAATAATATGTATAAGAGTTTGATGCGTGTGATGGGAATTTGGGGAGAGAATGAATCAACATGAGAGTTTTGGTGTTGATTCTGCAGTAGTATATTGGAATCAGACTTCTTGAGTGTTTCAAAGTTCTACTATTGTAATGAGATTTTGAGAGGAAGGCAGCGTGTCCTATGAAACTAATGAGCTTCAGATTGCAAAATCACGTATTCGGATTTTTGTGGCAACATTAAAACTTATTCTTCTAACTTTTGGTGCTATTAACAGACTTGCTTTCAAGAAGATAAAACAAACACCTCTTAGTAAACAACAACAGCATTCAATCTTTAGTCATCTTTTGGGTTCGGCTAACATGAATTTATACATGATATCGGAGTCAAAAGGAAAAGAAAGGTAAAAAGATAAAAAGACAAATAATGATATACCCATACAAAAAGTAAGATAAAGATAAAGATAAATACTAGTATAAGATAGAGATAAAAATGATAAGATAAAAAGGAAAAAAAGAATATATATAAAATAAAAAAGATAAAAGGATAAAGAACATAAGAAAGATAACAAGATAAAAAACGATAAGAGATCAATTCTCCACACGAATATTTGCCTCCACTTTGCTCTCTCAAAGCCATACTTTCATCCAACCCAAACAGAAGCATATCACTCTTGACTCCTGACTTCTTTAATCTCTGACTCCCCTGTCTGTTGGGTCTTCCTCTCCCTCTCCCCCTCCTTCCTGCCTCTTATCCACACCTCTCAACTCGTTTAACATGTGCATCACTCCGTCTTCTACAAACATGACCAAACCACCTCTTAGTAAACGAGTCTGTAAAAATATCTTGTCACTGGATTTGGTGGTATTATGTTATCATACTCTAATAACTTGACCCTAATTCTTTCACTGATGATCTAACCTTGTTTGCTGGTTGTGTATCAAATGAGAAATAATCCATTTTTGCTCCCTTTTTTACTTCTAATCACATGTTGCAGACATATGAAGAGTACCTTGAAGCCCATAGCAAAGGGTCTGGGAACAAAAGAGTACGGAATCATGTTAGTCTGTTTCTCACATCTTCTCTTACATTTCTAGATGAATATTAGATTTTGTTCCAAGGCCCTTAACAATAGTTTTGTTCATGGAAGGATAGTGTGAAAATTTAATATATCAATATAGCTCATGTTAATGCATGCTTTATTGTTACTCCTTTAGTTAGATTCCTCACATCACATGCATATTCATAATTCATGAAACCCTCTAAATTTTTATGTTTCTTGTGTTTGAACTGTTTTTATTCAAAATGACTCCTTTCTTGAGTTTTGTAATTTTTTATGTATTCATTCAGCAGGTGAAGACGTGAAGTGTATCTAAACCCTAACCCTAAACCATAAACCCTAAACCCTAAGGGTTGGTTTGCAACTGCTTTTAAAAAAGCACTTCTCAGCTTTTGGCTTTAAAAAAGCACTTATTTTCCCAAACACTACAACTTTTATTTTTCTCGGCTTCCGCGTCAAAAGTGCTTTTACTTTTTCTATTACACAAAAAGCACTTATTTTATCAAACACGACCCACTTTTACTTTTCAAAATCACTTTTTTCTCAAACATTATCAACTTTTATTTAATCACTTCTCCCCATTTCATTTAGAAAAGCACTTTTTTAAAAGCAGAAGTTGTTGCAAACAGACCCTAAAAGATGCTATTGACGTGAAGGGTTCCAGGAAATTGCTTTCCTTGAAAACAAGTTGCTCTATGTATAATATATGTCCAATCACATAAACATTGGAAAAAGTTAATAAGTTGCTTTCCTTGGAAATTGCTTTCCTTGAAAACAAGTTGCTCTATGTATAATATATGTCCAATCACTGATTCTTGAAACGTTAAACCACATGATATATGGTTTTCTTCCTGAAAACATTTTCAGGAAGAAAATCCAGCTGCTGAAAACATTTTCAGCTGCCATTCACACGAAAATCCAGATCTCAAAAAAATAATAATCCTGGAAACCTAAGCCATCAGTAATTGATGCCTGTCCAGTTTCTTTTGTGAATTATTTTTGTGATGTTGTTGTTTACTGGTTTATGAAAAATAAAAGAGCAGCCCGGTGCACATTGGCGTCCCCGCTAGGAGAGCGCCCGAGGAAGGGTCCCACCACAAGGGTGTAAAAGGGATATCCCTTCTCTTGTCATTTTGACTAGAGGCTGCTCTCAAGACTTGAACCCGTGACCTCTCAGTCACACAACAGCACCGTAACCGGTGCACCAACCCCCCCCCCCCCCTGTACTTGATTGGTCAGATTAAGAAAAAATATGTTACAAAGGGGAGGATAATGAGCTTCATGTTTGCAGAAAAGTTGCTATTGACTTGTAAACTCGTTAGATTTAAACTACTGGTGATCCAACCAGTGTTGTCAATAGAGCGCTATAGCGGCATAGTGGAGCGGAGGAAGGGTTGGGTGCTACAAGACCACATGTAGTGTCGCGTTTGACTCTAGCGGGAGTAGCGGACGCTATAGCGGCATTATTTGCTTTTCTTCTCTGCAGTTGGGGTTTTCTGGGGTAAGTTTTGTTTTCAGAGGTATTAAGGGTAAAGTAGAGTTTTTTAATAAATAGTCACCACCGTAAAACCCTTTTATGCATTACTGTTGCGACTCACACCTGATAGTCTGATACGATGACAAGTATCTGGTTCTCTTCTTCAAGAACAAGTGAACAGCCTCTGCAGCTTCATCTTCTACAAGAACGACATCTGCTAACACTCCTATTTGCTTCTTTTGAGTATATTTTCTCCTCTACAAGAACTATCTGTGCAGCACTCCTCTTCTTTTCTTCTTCTAAGTAGCGTCTTCTGTTTATTGTTTAGACTTAAGTTGTTTTAATTTTTAATAGCTTCGTATGTTGTTTATGACAGAATGGAGTATTTTGTTGGTAATTTAGGATTTATGAATGTCAAGATGTTTGGTACTCTCAGTAACATAAATTATGTTTTTTAATTTGATGTCTATAAAATGTAATTATATACACACATATCATATGTATTTTGCATATATATTCCATGAATAGCGGTCATCCCTCTATCCACTATACCGCTATAGCATTTTCAGGGCTGGCCGTAACACTCCACTGTCCAGGATTGACAACACTGGCTCCAACCGAAAGTTGTTTTAGACTGAGTGAGAATGCACTGAAAGAAATGTCTTAAGTGTGTTAGTTTCTGTCATTTATTGGTTTGCCTTGGAGAGAGACTGTGCACTATATCACCACTCTTTAGTCGCTAATTTAGGGAATGTATGTCAGAATGAGTAAAGCATGTAATCTGTAACAATATTAATAATATACTCGTGTATTTTCATCTCTTGTCAGGTTTCAGGGCAAACAGGGAGTACACAACAGTCATCCATCAGCAAAGAAAACTGTGATGAGTTGTAAGTCTATTGCAATTCTCTAAAATAATACATTTTTAAAGAGATCTGAAGGGCGGGTTAGTACAACTAGCAGAGTTCTCCACTGAATCAGGCCAGCTGGTCCCCCCATTGTTACCCTTTAGTGGCCCCTAGGACCGGTCTGGAACCAGTAACTGACCATTTGCCGATGTAAGTGCAGTTCATATCTATTGGGACAGGATCGACTGGTTTCGGTCTACATTTTTTTAATTGGCTGAAATGCAAAGGCCACATCAGTGGCGCTCCATGGCTATATTGCCATTTGGAGACTTGGACAACAGCGTAGGAAATTTCGCAAATGGCCAATTCACTGGTGCTCTAGTGCAAGCTTAATAAGTTTTTGTTATTGAATGTAAAATGTAGTATATGTAAATTAAATGTTTGTATAGTTGTCTATTTATAACTTTATAAATTGTTTGTAACTTTTAAGTATTCATATAGAATTATACGTTGCACATTTGTAAATGGTAAAGTTGTTCTGTGACATTGTTTTAAAAGTTCAATTCAATAAAATAATATTTTACCGTTCTTCTTTTAAGTGCCTTTTGTGCTTGTTAAGATAAAAAGAAATTCCAAACAACCTATCTCGATCACCTGAGAACTGAGACCGTTACCAAACCCCATACCTACGGCTCCACTCCCCTTAGGTTTCGGAAAGAACCTACAGGGCTAGAGTTTGAATCAGCCTCCTTCCAATAAGCAATTTGTAGGGTGGGATGGAATACTTCCTTTCCGAGACCCTCCATTTTGTGGGGTAAACTTCCCGTTTGAACACAATTGGGTTTACACAACACTTTCTTGTAATTCATTTCGTATTATTCATTTCACAGGCAGTCGGGCTGCAGTTCGAAGAAGAGTTGTCAACGCCATTCTAATTCCTGATTCTGTTGTATTGTATTTGCAAGCATGTATTTGGCTCATCAGTTAGCCGCAAGTCCGCAACCACCAAAGTCAATTCCTCTAAATTAGAGGTGAACCGTGTGGTAATGCCGTACTATAGTGTAATATTTATTGTATTATGTTATTTCCGTACTATATGCTGTAATACTGTTAAACCTTTCTGGAATTAAAAATTTGTATAGCTTAAAGCTTTTCGTAAGTATATTTTATTTTTATCCTTTTGGTTTAGTGGACTGGTTGAATTTTCTGTGCAGAACTGCAGAAGTAGCACACTTTCCAAAATTTTGCAAGTACATTTGGGGGTTTAATGCACCAAACCCCCTCATGAAATAAAAATTCGGCGCATTGGTCCTCTGTGATTTAAAAAATGCGTCAAACCCCCCTGTGTTATGATTAACATACGCCAAAACCCCCTCCAAGAACAAATTTTAAAATTTTGAAATCACTTTTTTAATAATATGGTTGAATATGCAAGTGGCTTTGTCAAATTTCTAAATTATACAAAAAAAACTAACCATTTTTCATTTTTTTTTTGAAAATTAAATTTGTTCTTAGAGAGGGTTTGGCGCATGATTAATTATAACACGGGAGGTTTGATGCTTTTTTTAAATTAAAGGGGGCTAATACGCCGAATTTTTATTTCACGAGGGGGTTTTGTGCATTAAACCCTACATTTGGGATGATGTCTGTGCTTCCCATGTGGCCATGTCGAGTGTTGTAATGTTTATGTTTTACTAAGGTTCCTATTTTTTTTAGTTAACAATTAATATTCTAAAATGACAGCTTAATAATCAAATATAAAAAATAGAATATCTATAACATACAATAACATCAATGGCTTCTTTATATTATATATCCAAATTATTTAACAAAATACTCTAGTTATTTTATTTAATCGTCAAAATAATCTTGTCATTTTGCAATGACAACTTTTGATCGGGAATCGGGTTGGAGCTAGGCATGGACCCGGTTCGGG